ACTATTAGCGTAGGAACGGCCGGAATGGGCAAGGATGAAAGAGGAGGAGTTAGCGGCTGTGCTAAATGATGACTAGCTGCCAGTAGGGTGACCACTTGCTGGCTGATCAGCGAACCGTATCGAGCTAATTGCTGATTCATTCTCAAGTTATGTGTTGCGAGATTTGAAGCAGCCACAGCGTAAGGGGGATACTGAGCAGTGGTTGAAAAGGTTGTTGTAGAAAGCAAAGTGCAGGAATCGACCGAGGCAGTCAAGCATATGCTGGTGCTGGTTCGGAGAGAGGAAGGAAGGTGGCCCATGTGCGTTAACGTGAAGCTCCTGACCAGGATCGCTGTGGGGCGGAGATCTTCTATGTTACGCCTAATATCAGAAAGTTACTTGGTAGTCTACACTGATATGTAGTCCAGTCGACATTCAAGTTTATTGACGACTTCTTACAAACTCCTGTTCACCCTGGCAACAGGCACAATGCGTTTCACATTCCCATTCGTAAGCTCAAGTATACCTGCTTGAGCAGTCGATTCGTTACTGCCCCAGCAGAACTGCAGCGGTAAGCTACTGGAGATTTTCATAAGCGCACTGTAAGCTGGCTGGGTGACTACAACGGCGGCATTTTGTTCTTGAGCAAAAACGTTCAAGAAAGCTTGCAGCAACTGTGGCGTGCTGCTCAGTTGTTACGGGACACGCTGTAGAACATGCAAGAATGCGATGGCGCCTTTTCCAGAAAGAGTCAGCGTGAGCTTTACCTGTAAGCACCCACAGAGATGTTGAGAAGTTCTATTGGCGTGCATCGTGTTACCGGAATTCCTTTCCTGTGCTTTCTTGGATCAGTGCTCCTTTGAATCCTCTACTTAAGAACTGCAGTCTATCAACTGAAAAGAGGAGGCTGATGCGGGTGCAATGATGCTTATCAGCTATTGTATCACTTTTCCACTATTCGAGCTACCCGATTATGAGCGCTCTTTCTTCCCACCAACCGATGATAGTAACACTGTGGGGATTATATTCCCCCCGATTCCTAGAGGCTGTCCAAAATACCGAACTATTCTTCGTCATTCTATTCAATTTACCGAAACCACGCAGCGGTATCGAGTGGGGGGAAAATGAATGCACGCGGTGTAGTGGGGCATGAAAGATGCCGGCGCATATATGGGCGTCATTTTGCTATCCAGACCGACCACCAGTCTTCAGTGTTCCTTATGAGAATTTTCGGGATTCTGCAATCGTAGAGTTGTTCGCTGGCATGGGCAATAAGGGCAGTTGCGAGCTGTTGCCTGGGGAAGAATCCACGGTTCTGTTTGGTTAATAAAGCTGGTTACCATGAACAGGAGTCCTCACATACTATGATAGCTGCCATTCCTCGGCACATGCTCTGCCTAGAATGTCATTTTATATGTGTGGGTATTGCTTGGTATATTGCCAATCATCGTCGTCAAGTTGTTCTCTGCTCTTCGCGCAAATGGCAACCTGGGGAATTAATAGAGGAGAAAGAACTTCAGTGTAGCTTGACCATTCAAACATTTTACTGCACAGTTATATAGAAGACTGAGTTAAGAGGACATTTGCTGAGTGGTATTTCTGTTTGTGCATCTGAATTATTGCATAGTAGCATTCGGCCGATACAAGGAGACGCAATGTTTTGCGGGTCTGCGCTAGGTGCTACGTGTAAACTAGATGTGAATACTCGGAGAGGGTGCAACAAAGTTCGACTTTCCCTCCCCTGATGCGGGAACTGTGATCGGTGAAGGCCAGGAAGGAAAGACCTGTTCAGAAGGCTTCGTAATAAGGTTGTATGGAGTCTGGAATCATCTCCCTACGGAGACTTTAGATGGAGCTTTTAGCATGGCAAATCGCCCAATGGAATAGCTAGTACCATTCCACGCCTTGCTTTTGTTTCTGGATGAAGAGAGATAACGTGGAGAGCATCTCTTTGTAAGCCACCCTAGGGAAAGCGCGAGATGCCACCAGTCGAAGCAGCACACGAGCTTTCATTTTGGAGTACATTTGGGGAGAAGGGTCTTCTGATGGAAGCTTTGTGTCGAGTGTAGCAGGACGAAGCTACGCTTGGGCACTTCCTCCCACCCAAGCAATATTTGACCGAGTTTTATGTGTGGATCAATTGGAATGTCAGGCTGTCATTATCTTGCCGGTACCGCGAAGCACGGTTAGTCCAGCATACAACGACTAAATGCTGCATGCCTTGCGGAGTAGCCACCAAAGTGAGAATTCTGTGGCTGCTCACAGAGTGGAAGCACTTGAACCCTCGCTTTTTTCCTTGCCCTCGAGCCGAAACATTGTGTAATGAGGGAAGAAGACAGAAAGCCCTTTAGCAAAGCACCGCGTAACTGTCAATTACTCTCGATGGTGTTTAGGTTAAAGAGTTTCCTGATAATGACCAAAGTTATAGCGTTTCAAGCAGCAGTGCAGGGGCCGTACGCGTGTGCCGAAAATCGCCCTAGGTGCAGCTACCTTCGGTATTGAACCCTTCTAAGGACTCTACAATTAGGTTTGATCTCAACTAGCAGCGTCGTGAGTGGCCATCTCCGCCTCGTGTTGCGGACTACACCAGCTGCATGCGTCTATGCTGCGTTCCTGTACTTCCGCTGGATGCTGCAAAAAGGCAGGGCACGTAGGAATGCTCTTGTGTTGAGAGGCAAAGAGCAGCCACCAAAGCGTGGTAGCAGCAGTTTCGTGCAGTCAAACGACTGCCCAAAACTAGCCGAGATCACAGGGTTCGCACCGTCACAGGAGGACATGTATGTAGGAGCGATCAGCGGGAAACTCCACTGCTTGCTCCTGCGTTGATACCTCTCCCTGCCGCATACAGCTGTTGCTGCTGCTTCAGCAGCCCATGGATGGTCTGGGATCTTGGTGCGCACTGCTCCTCAGGCTGTCGCTGCAGTTAGAGCCAATGCCCTTGCATGCCGCGCTATTTTATTCTGGACTACGCCCTGCAGAGAGTTTCTTCTCTCCAGCCCATACACCACCCTCGCACACGCATGCATGTACACGCCAATGCAAAGGCACGCACAAACAAAAGTCCCTGAATGAGCGCTTTTGCATACATAAAGATACATATATATACACGTATATATACAGCCTTCGGAATATGCATGTGCACCTAGCAGTGTATTCAAAGATGGGGCCCTCACAGCTTCAGCGCGTGCAACATGTGCTCCACGATGGAGATGTTGCCAGTGGTCAGTTCCCTAAGCCGTGGCTGCAAGGGTTCTAGAGATATCACACGAAACTTTATGCGGCTCTCATCGAGGTAAGTTTCGGATGCCGCTCGAAGCTTGAGCAAGCACTCCTGAAACACAAAGCCCAAGCCCGACCGCATGAGCAGTGTCAGATTTCCGAGTGGTGGAAGGGAGCGCAAGAGAGTGCGACAAATGTGCCTCATGAGACATTCTGCAAGGCCTCCCTCTTAGACAGCTGCGATCTTGTCTGTCTGCTTGTGACAAAGCTTGTGGAGACGCGTGTGGATGGCTCACCGTCAGATTCACGTCCGTGAACACGTCATGAAAGCTCCTTCCTGCAGAATCCAACGTTTGCTGCAACTGCATCGCCACAAGCTGTCCAGCCTTGAGAGGCGCCATAAGCCCCTCCGCCCTTTCTCCTATTAGGGATGCCCGTAATGAACCCGTGGCGTCGGCAAGCGTCAAATTCAGCAAATATGTCTGCACTGGCTCTGGGCTCTGCTTGTTGCAGCTACTGCACAGCCATAAAGTTGATGGATCGCCGTCTTGCGGCTGCTGCATCTTCTTTCGGCAGTCAGGGCAAGCCCTAAGAAGCAGTAACAGGGATGGCGCATGCAGCATATACAGAAACAAACACACACACATTCACACACACACATTCACACACACACATTCACACACACACACACATAGATCCACATACATGTATACAGTCGCAGCAGTGGCTGCAGTAGCTGCGCCACTGCCAGGCACCTCTAATGTTGAATGGGCAGCAGGTACCATGACTTGCACAGCTAGCACCAGCAGCCCTAAGTGTCGAGAGAAAGCGTCAAAGCCGTCTGAGCACAGCAGATCGCCTGCCACAAGGGCAGCACCGCTCCTTAGGATTTGAGGAGGATCTCTGGAGCCGAAATGTGCAGGCTTACGGCCATGAAAATCTGTCGTCTGCCACTCTCTCGATAGTGGCCACAGTCGAGAAGAAGAGACCCTTTTCTGCAACTGCGCGAGCACAGCAGCAGCCCATGCAGCAGAGAGAGCGGCAACTTGGCAGCCGCCCCAACAGCAAGTGCCTCAGCCGTGCAGATCCCACACTCAGTTGCCGAGACTTTTTCGTGCAGCAACATTCCCGTCGGAAAAGCAGCAACTGGAGAAAAAGCAGCAGCAACAACAAAGGGAGTAGAGGCCAACGCTGACGCTGCGCTGGATCTGCCTGGGCGGCTTCCTGCGAGATTTTCTCGAGAGTCTTCAAGGGTTCGTTCCGGCCTGGTCCCCCGACGCCACCGCCCAGAGCAGCGAAACTGGCGCAGTTGCTGCCTGCCTGCAGCGCCAGCGAGCAGTGGGAAGAGAGCAATGGAGCGCATGGATACACCTCCCTCTCCGAGAGAAGCACATATTCAAGAGCTCTAGCACGCGCAGAGGATGCCTTTGGAGGCGGCAGGTTTCCACGCGTGCCGCCCTCTCTCCCTCCGGGTCGGAGCGTCCTCTAGCGTGTTGGTGCGACACTGCACTGCACTGTCTGCCGAAAGAAAAAGCAAGACCGCTCACGCGGCTGGCTGGTAGTGGGGGAGGAGGAAACAGAGCACCACTCAGGACGAGACGCAGAGGGGGGCGGAGGAGCTTTCGTGGCACACAAGCAGTGAACGGCAAGCGCATGCAAAAGCTGCATGCTCTCTGCGGCAGACTCCTCACCTGAGACCACCACAAGGCGAGGCGCTTGGCATCGGGAAGATCCACAGCGGTGTCTAGTCGCGTGCTGCTCTGCCACTCCAACTTCTTGCCACCCCATTCGCCAACCTTGGCATCTGCACGAGGAAAGCCGTGCAACTCACAACTGCGAACGCTTGCTGCTGCTGCTGCTACACACACAGCTAGCTGGGAGTCTCGCGGCACGAGAAGGCCGAAAAAGCACTCAGGAACGTCAAGGAGCCTTAGCTAGCTGCCTCTGCTTCCGCCTTCCCGCGAGCTTCTTGAACTGAAACTGCGCATGCTTCAGGGAATATGGCGGCTTTACTCCGGATGAGTACGATGGGCTTCGCCGCGAACTGCTCGGGGGTGAGGCAATGGACGCGAGATCCCCACAGTGTCAGGCAAACGGAAACACCCCCGTCGTCTACCAAATGAATATCTCTCTTCTCCTTCTGCTGCCCTGTCGCCTGCATCACAGCAAACGGCAGCTCCCCAATACTATTCAGAGCAAAACCCGTGCGCAATGGAAGACGTAGAAGAGCAGGAAGGCAGTATCGGGACCCTGTGGACGGCGAAACACCACCCAGCAGCACTGTACATACACACAGCAGCAGCAGCAGCCGTGCAGGGAGGACAGAACGGCTAGACAATACCCTGAGCGTAATGGTCTGAACATCCTTGAAATCGTAGAGCACGCCCACAATGGAAACGACAGATCCGACTTCTGTGGCTTCGAGAGCCTTAATCGGTGTCAGGGGTGTGCTGAATTCAATAAACACAAAAACCAAAACGGCCTTCCACGCACTGCTGCCTTCCGGATCTGACGGACATACATACATGCTGCAGTCTCTCTTAAACGAGCGCTTCGAAGAGCGCTCTAGCAGTCACACCATTAGGAAAAACTGCAGAGAGGGCAGCTGCTGAGAAGGGCAGCTGCAGAGAGGGCAGCTGCAGAGAAGGCAGCTGCAGAGAAGGGCAGCTGCAGAGAAGGGCAGCTGCAGAGAAAAAGGCTGCAGAGAAGGCAGCTGCATAAAGGGCAGCTGCAGAGAAGGGCAGCTGCAGAAAGGGCAGCTGCAGAAAGGGCAGCTGCAGAGAAGGCAGCTGCAGAGAAGGCAGCTGCAGAGAAGGAGGCTGGAGAAAGGGCAGCTGCATAAAGGGCAGCTGCAGAAAGGGCAGCTGCAGAAAGGGCAGCTGCAGAAAGGGCAGCTGCAGAGAAGGCAGCTGCAGAGAAGGCAGCTGCAGAGAAGGGCAGCTGCAGAAAGGGCAGCTGCAGAAAGGGCAGCTGCAGAGAAGGCAGCTGCAGAGAAGGCAGCTGCAGAGAAGGAGGCTGGAGAAAGGGCAGCTGCAGAGAAGGCAGCTGCAGAGAAGGCAGCTGCAGAGAAGGGCAGCTGCAGAAAGGGCAGCTGCAGAAAGGGCAGCTGCAGAGAAGGCAGCTGCAGAGAAGGCAGCTGCAGAGAA